TTCGGTTCTTTCCTTTAGTAAAGGGTACAAATCCAAGCCTAGACCTGCGTTGGAAACGAAACTAATACCTCAAAAGGTATTATAAAGCTAAGGATTCCTTCTTGAGTAATCCTTAATTGTTGTCACTGTATATTTCTAAGGTTCTATAGTTAATTCAAAAATGAATTCTAACCAAAAAAATCGAGGTTTTATTGTTCAAATCAATATTTATATATAAATAAGAAAAATCAAAAATAGAATTTCCACAAAAAACTATCAGCTTTGTGTTTTTTTGCTTTTCAAAATAATTTAGTTGCAATAAAATATAGGAAAGAAAATAACAGTTCATTCATTTTGCCAACCCATAATATTTCCAAATATTCTTGCATCTAACAAGTCTCTTTTAACGGTAAATATTCTTTAGAAAGGATCTATATATATATATATATTATTGTAACATGATTATGCCAAAGGACTCTCATGTAATTCCACGCAACAACTAGGACATGACTACTTCCTTTTTCGTTAGAGATATTTGAAATGGTGAAGTGTAACGTGATGAGGATAGTAATTGCGCGGTCGTCGGTTCGCCTTTGGTCGCCTCAAGCTCAGGTTGGCATTCGTGCAGAAAGGCAGTCAGTTTGTCATCCTGTTGCCAGTTGCCAGACTCGGCCATATCCTTTATTTTCTGAACAAAAGCCTCCTTTGTGGTATCATTGACATCCACTACAAATTTAACCGTTTCCATCACCACAACACCACTGTCATGCATTACCGAATTTAAAAAGGACTGCGTCAAAAGTTGTGTACATGACGTTCCGAAAAACGCAGCATGCATCCGTGGGATGCGACCTTCTGCCTGGTGAAGAATAAAACGATTAAAGTCAAGTCCTATGAAATGAAAACGAACACGGGGAAAGACTGCCTGGTATGCAATACTGCTTGGGATGTTAGGCGGCAGGTAGTTGTAGTTTTTGCTGTTATCCCAGGCAAAGGCGTGCTCCACCCATGGCCATGCGGATCCCGTCAGGAACGTGTACAACCACGCCCTCACGTTATGCATCGAAACAACGCCGTTGCCATACTTGCACGTTCCGTCAGCGCTTCGGTTGTGGAGAAATTTATTCTCGGTGAGGGATCCAAAACTAAAAAAAGGCCCGCTCGAAATATCACCACGATAAACTCCTCTGCCATGGCGATCGAAAAGGCATAAAGTTTTGTTTGGAACCGTATAATCATACTCAAAACCACGGCGGGGGTTGATATGGCAAACATCATAGGCAACACCCGTGTTTCGCCAAACACGGTACTCTGGAAACTTCAAGAAGTGCGTGTAATCTTTTAAATTGAAGACGAAGTCCCAGTCAATGAGATTATCCCTGTTATCATAGCGCTCTGCCATGTCTTGGCGAAGGAGCATCGACCACTGCGCTGCGATGTCGGCCTGTGTACTATCTTTACCCCAATTTCGAAGCTGATTCTCTATAAAATCTTTCTCTTTGTGTTTCATCTCAGAAAAGTTTACCATGTTTGACAGGGGGCCCGTTTCCATTTCGAGGCTTCCCAGAAGGTGCTGGGCAACGTTTCGCAACTGCGCTGCCGTGATATCGCGCATAAGAGAGTTCCCAAAGATCTCCAAAAACATCAAAACGCGCTCCTCCAGCTCCTCTAAAGAAAACATGCTATCCAAGAACCATTGAATAAAAAATAAATGTCGGCAGTGAATTCGCAAACTAGGCTCGTAAAGATAAATATGATACATGGGTGTTATTGCTTTGTCATCAGCATTTTGTACTTCACGCAGGCGGAGGGTGGCGAGAGTTCGAAAGATATGCCGTATATCCGCCGCACCAGCTAAGAGAATCGATACCGGCTCACACGATGGGGTGTCGTCCGTGGCAGCAGCGTTGTTGTCTGCAGTCAACATCCCCACACCATCTCCAGGACTGTTGTTAGCTGTTTGGCTACGTCCCTGCGTTTGAATTTTCGATATTAATTCATTCAAATCATTCTCATTGAGAATCGCTTTCTCGCGCGTTTTATCACAATTCGGCAAAGTTGAAAAAGAGGATGAAACTAAACCATCAGTAGTATGGTTTATAGGAGTCTTATCAACCTCTGCCTCATTTTTTGTGTCCGTAGTAGTACTGGTAGTGTTGTTGACATGCGACTGGTGGTGTGGAGATCGAAGCGCCGCGTGCTTTTCAAGCAGCTTGATGAAGTCCACAGCTGGAGACCATCCCCACCCGGGTTCCCTGCCAATTCGGTTCAAGAATTGCTCCTTTTCAGTGCGAATATACTTGTCACTCATGATTTAGAATAATAATGTTAACGTGTTTGTAAAGTTGAATCTATATGCCTTGAAAAATTATTGAGAGCGATCACAGTGAATATAAAGCTGTTAGGTGATTTGAAAAAAATGCAATAAGTCATCACTTTCAAACTACATCATCAACAACAGAACAAAAAAATGATGTTAAAATTCCGGAATGCACTTTGCTTACTTTGCAAAGCTTTATCGTACGAATGTTTCAGCTATAAGTGACTCCATGATGGAGTGAAGAGGAACTCTTGAGCATCACTACCTCACACCTCCCCTCTTCATCACTGAGAAGACTATTTTTAAGCCATTTCTTTCATTTGTGAAATGTAAATTTAACGTAAGACATACACATTACTTAGGGATGGCGCATAAGCCAGGAGTTGAGGGTGGCTCGTGGAATGCCACACCCCGCAGACACGTAAATCGTCTACCATCTTGCCGACATCCATCAGCACCACAGCGTTTTCGTCCGTAGCCTTAGTGATATTAATTGCACCATTGAACTGTTTCCATGCCTCGGCATCAAGCCATTTCATCTCAATGTTGTACAATAACGTAGTCCCTTCCTCGTCGGTAGCATACAAACAGAGCATGGGAATTGAAAGGGAATCTGTCCAACATTCATGCGCGGATACGTGTCGAACGCGTTTGCGCGCATGAATAACGCAGAGGGTGCGAAATTGTACGGATCGCTCCGCCGCACTACCCAGCAGCGCCACGGCGATGATCAACACCACATTCGAGCGAGTTCCAACGATGACGTAATCGACGTCGGGGGAATCCCGCCGCGAGTCGATCCTTTCCTTACTGCGGTCCGTAGACACCAGCTGAAGTGCCGTTGCGGTTCCGTCCTTGCACTCGTGGTAAAGCGTCATCAAGTTCCAGGTGCGCGCCTCCAAAGAACGCACCATTCCACTTCTTTCGTCAAGCCACCAAATCCCAATCATCGAGTCGTTTCCTGCGCTCATGAATGTCTGGAGAGTTTCCTCACCAGCGAGTTGCCCTCCACGCGGCAATGGGCACAGCGCGTTTATAAAAGCTCCATGGTGTGGGTCGCTCAGTTTGAAGACCGAAGTCCCGCTCACAATATCAAGAACATGTATAGTGGTATCGTAGGAACCCGTTATCACGAAGTTGCGATGGTTCATCAAATTGGGGTGTCGAGGTCCCGCGAATAGCAGAGTCGTAACGCCCATCGAATGCACGGATGGGAATCGTCGAACAAGTCGACCAGTGGAAAAGTTATACACCTTTATCCAACCATCACGGTACCCCGCGGCGATCCACAGACAGGAGCTATCAGCTGTTGTGGTTCTCGCACCTTCAGGGTCTTCTCTGGTAGATTTTTTGTTTTCTATAACGGCTGAAGCCGACGGTGACACCTCATCCAACGCAAGCGCCAGTACCCCATCAGTGTGCGCAGTGGTACTCCGCACTAGCTCGCCGGATGTTGGTGCGATGAAGTCGAGCACACCGTCTGCGCGGCCTAACAACACTATCGTTTCCGTCTCCTCCCTCCTACTTACAACGCAGCACGTTGTGATGGCCTTTTCTGCCGAATAGGGGACTTTTCGGTGGATCGATTGCGGTACCGAAATGGGGTATTCCAGGCGAACCTCAGACCACTGCTTCTGCGTCGCCACAACATCGGGGGTGGTGCCTCTTGCCTCAGGTCGTTCTCGTTTATGAAATCGCGGCTGGTCTCCCGAATGTGTGGGTTCCGCCTCCGCGGCGCTGCCCTGGCATTTACAACGTTCGGCGATTAGAAGCGCAGAGGGTAGCGCGCCGTCGAAGGGATCACTGGAAAAGTGAATAAGGCCCTTCAGCTGCTGAAACACCCCTTCGCGTCGCTTTTGCAGCTCTACGGTGAGGCCCACATTGCCCCCCGCCTTATTATGGTTCTCTTCCCACTGAATGCTATCGAAATCGTCCAGCATCTTTTGCAGACGCACCAAGCGAGCTGGTGCATTCTCCTTCATCTCCTTGAAGACGGGTGAGTGCTGAAGCAGCGTGCGAGCAGCCGTCTGGATGCCGTGCACGAGGAAAAGTTCCTCAAAGATCAGCTCATATAAGTTTGCACGAACCTCATATGGTATTAACAGGCCGTCAACATAAACATTTAAAACCTCCGCCCAGTTTCCCTGCGATACAGCACGCTGCAGCCCAACTAAGGAGGGTGGTGGGAATTTCATCATTCGAGAATCCCCCCCACGACTAACCTGAGTGCCCGAATAAGAACCCGCAGCGGTGGTACGGCCCCAAGGGTTGAATTCATCCCTTTCGTCATTCCCTTCTATGGCGACGTGGATGGTGTTGTACGGGACTCTCGATTCCGTTTGCAACGCCATGAGACTATTACGGTAGCCAAAATAATCAAGGTATTCGTAAATGAATCCGAGTACCTCTTCATGTGGTATGGCATTTCGAGGCATTCTTGATTTATGAAAAAGACCAACCTGCCAGGATTGTAAATGGTCAAAACTTGCTCCAAGCCAAAAACGAGAATAAAAAAGCAGACTCATTTATTCCAAAGAAAGTAAAACTATCAATTCAAGTAAAACCATTTAAATAGTAGTTCAGTCTTTAAATAATGCAACAAAGAGAGTTTTTAAAGGAAAACCCTAACCCTGATGGCAACCCAAGGTGCGCGTAATATAAAGTGTACTGCTACATAAATAATATATATATATATATATATATATTCAAGAAATACTCCCATGTATCTTCTCCGCTACGTTGATATGCACAGATTCCTCAATATCACATTTACTCGCAAAGAAGTGTTGAAAAGTAGCAAACACACTTTAATCCTAGCTCGCGCTTTCCGTTGTGATGAAAAAAAATATTAGATTCACTGAGGCGTCTGGTTAGGCCGGTGAGCGGCAATAATTTGTGCGAGCTTCGCGAACGCAGCCGCCTCTCGGTGGGCTTGAGCCCTTACCAATGCTGCCCGCTGGGCCTTTAGAGACGCGATCTCCGTTTTAAGCTGTTGTTCCGCCATGACCTGAGCCTTCCCCATGGCGGACGCCCACAAGGCCTGCTCGCGTCGCTGCTCGTCCGTCTCCGAGGTCGGCGCGGCGTGGACGATCTCGCCGGCGGAGTTCAGCCGCAGTCGGTTCTCCTCGGCGGCGGCCTTTTGCCGGAG